GCGGCAACCAGGTGTTCGAAGGCTTGGGCCTAGAACTAAATGTATGATCATTAACTAATCTTCATGTGACTATACTAGACCAATGCCTGCTCGACTTAGGATTATTCTTTTATTCTTTCTCTTTATTTTATCCTTTGAGGAATGCCAAGTCTGTGTCCACTATCTTGAAATCACTGCTTTTACCCCTGCTATAAACATTGGTATACTTGCAAGCATTATTATCTAAATTCATATCCATACTAGACTCTTAATCAAATGCCCTAATTTGGGAAAATATAAACAATGATACCCTGAATACTTCCGGATGAAATGCTACAATGATAGCTCTATGCGCTTGTGGATAAATATCTAAAATTGTTAAGGAACTGTCAAGGCTATTACTTAGTGGCATTGCTAATTTCTAGTGATGTTGCTAAGTAATGCCAACAAACACTTATAGGGATACAAACCTAGTAGCTATGTTAAGAAGTGCCAACAGCGGCCGGAACATCCTGGGGTAGGGGCCACCCGGATCGCTGCCCAAATGCCCTAGGGCCAAAGTGATCTGGGGCGCAGCCCCCTACACCCCGCTCTGGAGTGCGGGACTACGCCTGAGTGTGGCGCCTGGCCTCGATGGTGTCGTAGATGTCACAGCCGCCTCCAACCCAGTGATGCGCAGGGGGCCACCGCTAGGAAAGCTCACGCCTTTGCTCCTACTAGGGCTTGGCGCCCCTGGTCCATGGATGGTCGAAGCTGCTGCTGGAGGAGTCACCACCGCTTCCGCTCATCGGCGGGGCATGAGCGTCGGAGCGATCCCCATTGGCGGCGGTCGTCAACTGTGACGGCCTGGCGCGACGCCAGGAAGCGGAGCTCTTGGCCTGCTGCTTGAGGGTGATACGGAGAAGCCGCCTCGCCTCGTGCAACCGCTCGTTGGTCCTCAGGTTCGGCGTGTCGGAGATGTCCTCTAGCCGGCAGGCAACGGCCGCCATGTTGTAGGCCACTCGAGGGAAGCGCAAGGTGCTGAGAGCCCCCGTGTGGGCGTCGTCGTCGTTGTCGAGTGCCTGCGCGGCTCATTGCCGTGCAAAGTCTTGCCTTGGGCGCTCGAGCTCTGCCTTGGCGGCCTCTAGGTCCACCTATAGAGCTAGGAGGCGAGCTATCGTCTCTCGAAGGTAGTTCGCGCGGCTGCAAGGACTCTAGTCTAGCGGCGTGAGCTCAGGCTCCTCATCGGCGGGGTCCTCGTCGTTGATGTGGTACCACATGCGCGGCGGGGCATGGCAGTCGATGTCGTCTGAGTCGTACTCCAGGCCGTTCCTCGAGAGGATCTCAAGGAAGGTGCTCCAGCTCCAGTTGGAAGGATGCTGCCGCATTCTGGATCCCAAAAGACAGGTCCGAGAGGTAGTACCAGAAACGATCGGGTGGTGGGAGCACCTCGCCGGTGGCGATCTGGTGATGGACGTTGGCCAGGATGTAGAACATCTGGCGCTGGTCCGACACGGTGGGGTGCAGACCTAGACCGTGCCGGATCTACCAGGCCAGCACCTAGAGATCTGCTCCCTAGAGGCCTGGCGGAGGGGGCGACGCCGAGGGCTCGTTGCCCACCGGCGCGTCCCCGTCGAGCGGACGAAGCTCACCATAGCAGTCGGCAACGTAGGCCAGGCTCCCAAAGTTGAGGACCTGCCCGAAGCGAAGGCGCCGACTATGATGAAGAACTCGTCGGGGAAGAGGACACCGCCATCTGGGGCGGCGCCGCTTGCTCCATTGACGAGGCGGGTGGCTCCGGCCACCGTAGAGCCCGAATTGCACTTGATGTTGCCCCCTACAAGCGCCAGCTGTCGCAGGGTCAGAACCACAGCAAGCATTGTTGTTCGAGTTGGTGTCAGAGTATGTGTCTGCGGTGGCTCGGGTGGATTCAAGAACACAAGAATCACAAAGAGGACACAATGGTTTATCCTGGTTCTGGCTGATCGATGTCCTACATCCAGCAATTGATGATCCTTATATTCAAGAGCACCCAAAATCGGGGGGTTACAATAGAGTGTCGAGAGAGATTTGGTAGGGGCTTAGCTTAGTGCTAATCCTAATGTTGTCTCGCTGTCGGTGGAGCCTTCCCCTCGTCGGAGAGGAGGAAGACGACGGATCGGTGGAGGAGCTCTCGGTGCCCCTCTCTGGGTTGCTCTGCCCTCGGTGCTGAGCTGGAGCCAATGGATCATGAGGAATGGAATGATCTGTCTTGAATCGTCCCCCCTAAGGTCTGACCTTATCGTTTATATACCGAGATAGGTCGGGGACATGGCGATTTGGGGGGTCGAGCCTATGGTCTACATGCGCTGGAGTCCAGGAGAGTCTTGCAGCGGCGCTCTGTAGACCGTGGCGATGTCGTGGAGCCGAAGAAGCCCTGGGTGTCGTCCAGCTGCTCTGTTCTGACACTCTGCGTGTCAGGCTGTGTCGTCTTGGACCGGCCTCCCCCAGGTGGACCTTCTGGAGTCTTCTTGGTGGCGAATGAGGTCGGATCCAGGGGCTGACACGTGGGCCTAGGAACCCCCGAGCCCCTGGAGGCCGAGGGAAAACTTGTCTTCTTGTGTCACGCCCCGTGCGTGACCCTGTCGGGGGAGCAGCCGGCAAGGCCGCTCCCATAGTGCTGCGTCGAGGAGCCCCCGAGCCTCGGTGGCTCGGAGCATGTCGTCTTGTGCCCAGGCCTCAACTGGCGTCGTTGGCCGGGCAGGAGCCGAGGGTCGGGCTCAGGTTTCTCGTCGATCGGAAGCCTGAAGCTTGGGTGAGCCCCTGAGCCCTGAGCAGAGGCCTTGGCGTGCTCGGGCTCAAGCAAGTTCCTTAGTCTGAGGGTGCGCGTGAGCGTACACGATAGGTATAGCCCCGAGCCCCCGGGCGATCCTAGAGGGGTCAGTCGGGGAGTCTCTTCGGTCGGAAACCATAGATCCCGAGGCTTAACATACCCATATTTTAGGATATCGTCACTAGACGTTTCAAAGAACTCGAGTGTTCTGAGTACGGGTCTATCCAGGTGCAACATCAAGCACCAAGTGAAGGGACTTTAGTTGATCAAGCGTCTCGACATGGTCTCATAGCCTGAAGGATGAGTCAGTCCTTTTCCGCTTTCACAACGTGTGCAACTAGGAGGACCGCAAGAATCCTCATAATATGTGCAGCGTGTGCGAGTCCATCTATCATTACTATGGACCTCGACAAAAATTAATCTCGATCACCATTATACAATAAATTTCATGTTTTTTACCCTAAAATTCATGTTATTTTATTGATGAATTTCATTGATAAATTTCAGATGGATATATTCTCAATAAAACCGATCCTCCTTATATAAATAAAGGCTCTTTCACTGGATATCGCCATCAATTGCCAATATCCGTTTAATCAAATGAGTTCCGTTACAGCGTATTTTCTTGCTATAGAATCCCCCTTCTGGTACCTCCTATATCACTAGGAAAGGTGGGTCTGTTTATATTCCTATCTTCACTTGGGAAACCCTCAGATTGCCTTAGAGTTCAGTAGTCACTTACTATCCAAGATCACAACATTATTAAAAAGCTTCTTTTGATTACTAAGATCGGCAACCTTCTTCATGAGTGGTCAAACACCAGCTTACTTGAATCCACCATATACTTGAAAGTATAATTGACCCTACGTTGCCTTTGCCAACCCAATACCCGAGGACTGTGACCTGTCCCCCTGGTATGCCTCTGGCTGGTGGGCAAGTATTAGGGAAAGCAACACAAAATCAATTAAAGCCACGTAGTGAGGGTTTCCTAAGTGAAGATAGGAATATAAACAGACCCACCTTTCCTAGTGATATAGGAGGTACTAGAAGGGGGTTCTATAAGAAGAAAATGCGCTGTAACAGAACTCATTTGATTAGACAGATATTGGCAATTGATGGTATCGAGAAAATATCTATCTGAAATTTATCAATGAAATTCATCAATAAAATAACATGAATTTAACGTAAAAAACATGAAATTTATCGTATTCATTATTGAAAACGAAGGATGTCTTTAGCTAAGCTAGCGATGTGTGAAAAATTATCAGTAAACCGTGGATAGAACCCCACATTGCCTACGACGCTACTACTTCCCTTCACATTGACAAGAGATGATAACTGCTCGATGACTTCGAGCTTGGCTCTATCCACCTCAATGCCACATTCGAACACCAAGTGTCCAGGAATGATGCCCTCTCGGACCAAGAAATGACACTTTTCCCAATTTAGCACTAGGTCCTTTTCTTGGCACCTTTGCAAGACCTTATCTAAACTCTCCAAACATTAATCATAAGTTTTTCCATAGACTGAAAAGTCGTCTATGAAAACTTAACATCGACATGTAGCCTACATGCCATTTTTTTCTCATTTTTCTCATAATCAAAGGGGCACTAACAAATATTTGTTCCTTTAACCCCAATCAATAAGAGCCCAAAGGAACCAAAAATAGTAATAATGAGTAATAAGCAATATAATGAACCACTAGGCTCTGAGCTACAGCCTACAGGAACAGAAATGTACTCAGTAAGTCCTTCAAAGCACTTTTAATCTTGTTAGCTGCAAGTCCACAACTGAGACGAAGTACAACAGCTGTTACACATCCTACCAAAATTTAATTTACATGTAAGCAGCGGAAAGAACAAAAATCCACTTGCTCAATTTCACAGCTTTCAAGTATTCTAAAAGCTCAATTAGACAAGATAGCAAAATTCACGCTCCTTGCAGAAGTTTCAAATGGAGGGGCACAAGAGGCTAAAATTGTATTAGAGAGCCCATAATAAGGAACCTGAGCAGATAACTCAACCAACTTCATGGCCATTATCTGCTACAAATAGAACCACAACCACAACAATCTGTAAGCTTCTGGAAGCGATAACTCTCCCTGCAGGTCAGCCATGCTGAGAACATATATACACTCCTGATCAAGTTCACCTATGTTGAAACTTGAACACCTCTGCCAAATGCGTCATTATGGACACTCAAAGTCAAAGAAACAATATATCATGACCTATCAGTAACTTCCCCAATTTATCTGAGCTTGGGGATGCTGGTAAACACCAGGTGCCCCAACTATTTCAACAGCTCCAGCCATGGTGTGAGATGGCTGGAGCAGCGGATGAACAGCAGCTCCTGCCACAGAATGTGCTGGGTGGTAGATCCCTCCATAAGGAACATGACCAGCCTGAGGCGCATATGTTACCTGCTGTCCCTGAGGGGGGATACCATAGAAGGAATTGACCTGAAGAGCAGAAATATCACGTCCAGGTGTAGGAACCCACAGAGTCAAGCCATCGGTCTGGTTAATAATCAGATGTTACCAAATTTGACAAAAAGGATAAGTAAACAAGTTCAAAAGAACTGTGAAAAGGCCATATGACCATGAGAACCTAGGGTAATGTAGTTTTGTACAAACAATTTTTGAACGAAAGTTTTGTACAAACAATTGACATACACAGGTTGGTAAACTAGCAGACAAGTCTTGGGAAATCCGTAAATTAGCAGACAGTGGGCACAGCACAAAATTTACTTCAATTAAGCACCACAAAACACACAATGGAACAATGATGCGTGCCACCATGTGCCAACTACATCTGTTAACTGATTATTGAAGTTCAAAATGTTAAGTGGATAAAAAATAATTAAGGTACGGAGATGGAAATGATTAGATGGGCCCAGTGGACTCTATGAATTTTATTTATTTTTCCACGTTATCCTCTATTCAAACTAGATCCACAGAATCAGACAAGAGGGCAAGATACCATTGAAAACACTTCCAGTATGTCGACATTACAAGGCTTCCTAGTTCTAATATTATGCAGCTTTATTCAATTATTTTCCTATTCTTAAAGTATGTTGTTTTACTACTATAGCCAAAATTGGTAGTTCCACTTTAGCAAAACAAACATTAAGCCACAATCTGCACCATGCACTGTATACACGAAACAATTTCAGACAGACTTTTGTCAAGTGTACAGTTTTCAAGTCAAAATTGACTAAGTTCAGTTTTAATCTGGTCTAGAAACATTGGCCACTAGCCACGATGGATAGTAGAGCTTCACCCCATCACCTAATCCACTCACATCGATGATAGCTTTTAAATTCAGCAAGATTTATGTTTCCAAAAAGCGTCAAGATAAAACTGAACCATAAACAACACTAACTGTCCTTTATATAGAATCTCTGTAAATAAAATTCATATAGGATATTCTATAACACTGGACAAGAAAATTATCTCAAAAATACATAAAAAATGATGTGTCAAGACAGCATACTTCTCAACAAATAAACAAAATCATACCTGGAGCCCAGCAATATAGATGCTATTTTCCTTGAACTGAGATGAAGTAACATTGTCATTTTCTGCTAGATTTCCAGATGACACAGGTGCGTTATTAGTGTAAACTGATGGACTAGAACCATATGTTCCATGGCCACCAGGAACTCCAATAGATGCCTGGCTCCCAATGTTAGCACCAGGCTTGAATGAAGGAACGGAGTATTTGACAGGTGGTAGAACTCCTGCGCTTCCAGGAGTTGGGTACATGGCCCCTGTTGAAGGTGTCTGAGCAAATGTAGCATTACCCATAAAAGGGTGAAGAGTAGGGGGTGGAATAAAAAATGGTGAAATGTACTGATTGTATGGGACATAATTGGTCGGGAGATGTGGTATATGAACACCAAAAGGCTGGCGAAATACAGGAACAGGCTGCTGAGGGATAGCAACTGAAGCCGACAGAACTCCAGCAGCAGGGGTAGCAACCGAAGCAGAAACAGATGAAACAATCACAGGTGAGTCATTCCCCTGCAGTATTACCAGATATATAGATAAATAGGTAAGGATAGTATTTTTAATAACGAATGATATAAACTTAGACCTAGCCAATGTGGCAATGAATAGTATAGATCGGATGTTTTGTAATAACTCAGTGACACTAAAAGATCAGAGAATTATGATGGCATCAAATCTGAATGAAGAGATATAAAGTGATTGTACTGTTTTTATAAAAGAAACACATGTAGCTAGCCCAAATTTATTTGGAACTAAAAATCTGCATGTGTGACAATTGTATTGAACTTGCAACCACCTAAATTTGTCTTTCTATGGCATGCTGAAAACTTTACCTTTTGTATTAAATTACAGACAAATAGACTAAGTTTCTAAGAACACCAGCCACAAATGAAACAATGCAAAGTAGAGTGTTGATACAAACCTCTTGATCCTGGCCAGTTTGTGCGGGAACAACTGGGATACTCCCATACTTGTGGGCAGCTTGAGCAGTAAGAGAAGGGGTCAGCCGTTCATCAGCATCAGTTGCGGGATGGTACGACTGTGTACAATAACTTGTAGAAAAATCAACTGTTTGTTTTGACTGTACACAGTTTTACAGAGCAAAAATCAGGCCTGTAGAAGGAACACACCATGGACAACATATATTGTGGCTCCTTACAAGTACCAATAAACAAATATTTAGTTGGCCCACAACCTAAGTTATTTCCGTGTAATGTGCTACAACAGGGGTTGCAGGCCACACACTTGTGCATCTAGAACTATCAGGGGCATAAGGGCATATTGGTGAACATATGCGCAAACTCAATATCATGCCTTGTGGAACCAATCTGAATGGCATAAGCGAGAGACACGTGCAACTTTCCTCACCTCTCTTTCCATTTTTCCATTGGAGCAATCCATTTGGGCCCAAGGATGACAAGGGACCTCTCACCTCCACTTGGGCCACTTAGATTGGAACCAAACAATAAGATTTGAGTTTGTGCATATGTTTACCAATGGAATCACACCTGGTATTTCGCCCTAAACCAAAAGTAACAAGTAAAGCGAAAGTTTTGAACTCAAACTGGACGACCGTTGCACCATTATCACTCTACAATAAGTAAAGGCATAACTCCATGAGAAAGTAAACCCCAAGGGCTACAAAATTGTGCTTCCTACATTGTTCTGTTGTACTTGTATTATTTTTTCATGGTTCCAACAAGTTAGTTCATTTGACAAAACAGAGATATTTAAGTACAGAGCAGCATGTATTTATTTTGTTAAGAAAATATTAGGCCAACAAGAAATGCTAGTAGTAAAATTAGATGATACTCCCTCCGTTTCAAATTATAAGACGTTTTGGTTTTTCTAGATACATAGCTTTTGTTATGTACTTAGATATACACTATGTCTAGATGCATAGCAAAAACAATGTATCTAAAAAAAGCCAAAACGTCTTATAATTTGGAATAGAGGGGGTACAATCTTCACTTAGCAAGTGAATTGTTGTGTGTAAAAAAAAGGAAGTGTTATGCTGTGGTGCAATCAAGATGGTGTGTAGTGTTTGTGCCTCTGGGCACATATTGTGTGGGTTTGTAAGGGTTCTTTACTCTGGTCTTTTCTTCTTAATGCAATAATACGCAGCTCTCCTGCGTGTTTCAGAAAAAAAAGGATGGTGCTATCAAAAAAATTTCCCATAAAACAAAAGCCAAAATGTGAAAGCAGAGGGATTTTAGTGGCATCGGTTAAGAGAAACAGCACATGCCTGAGAATGAGATTCGGACTTCTCAATCTGATTCACATGTGATTGTGGTATAAATCCATATGTCAAATAAGATGGTGCGCTACGAATTGCTGTAGATTGGGGATCCTCTGAAGTGGCTGAATCGTCCTCACATTCTTTGGGTTCCATAGGGGCAATAGATGAAATCTCCATTGCTGAGGGTGCACAATTTTCTAGCTTTGCAGAAGGTTGAGGAACAAGGCCAGCTTCCTCTTGGACAGTAGAAGTTGAATTCTGATCTCTGAATTTCAGTGATAAATAAAAAGAAGAAAAAAAATAAGAACAAATACAGTTTATTATGGACTAGATTTATGTTTAACATCAGAAGATATTTTGGATACCCTAGGCACCACTGATAGACATCAAACAAATTCTCCAGTAAACTATAAGAAAACATCAATTCAACAAAAGAAATGTTTGTGAGAAAGAGCTTTGCAGAGAAATTGACATAGACATAAAATCTAAGAGACAATGTGTCCTGAAAACATTAAAAAATTAAACATGTTCCTCAGTAAATTACAAGAAAACATTGAGAATCCAACAAAACATATGAATGCTAAAACAGATAGATACACAAAGAAATTAACAGTCTAGTAGAATGCAGTGTGCTGGGAACTGAATGGCATGGTTCCTTTAACTACAGTTATTTAATGACCTGTGCATATAGCATCAATACACAGGTAGTCAGTAAGATATACCTAATAAACACCAGGACATCATTAATGCTAAAAAGATGCACACAGGACCATGCTTAACAATTGAGTATTCTAGAACTAATTAATGCAACCCTTTGCTTGAGCTTGCACAATATGAGCTGGACAAGGAATGAAAAACAATCAAAGTAAAAGTTAACATATGAAGGTTACCATGGCAGGTGAAAAAACAATGTGCCCATGGTCTCCAAACATCATTATTGCAGAGTAAGTAGATAGGCTTTCTTGATATGAAATGATGTAAATCAATAGAAGTCTCAGGAACTAAATCAAATGGTGGCACCAAACAAAGCGAGTTCCAAGTTAGGTACAATCAGGAGATGCAGCAGCACATTAGCAACTACTCCCTCCGTTCCAAATTATAAGTCGCTTTGACTTTTTTGATACATCGAATTTGCTATGTATCTAGACATAACGTTAGTTTAGATACATAGCAAATTCGATGTACCAAAAAAAGTCAAAGCGACTTATAATTTGGAACGGAGGGAGTATAATAGTGTGCTGTAGTACTTTATAAATGAATCATCAAACTACAAGAAACAAGATAAAGTCTGAAGATGCTGCCAAAAATTACCCAATAACAGCGTAAAAGAGCATCACAAGGATAGTCTCCAAAAATCAAGATAAAGGGTGTTAAAACTAACCTTTGCATTGATTGAGGCTCATCAATACTGCCATTCAATTCATGAGATGAATTGAATTTCGGTAAAGAGCTCTTCACACACTCAGGATCTGAAGAACCCATAGTTTGCTGAAAACTGACGTCGAAGCTTCCAAAGCTTAGACCATACTTTTCAGACTCAGAAACTTGAAGGTGATCTGGAATTATCACATGTTGCTTATCTGATAACTGTAGATCATTGAAATATTTGTCCACCTTCAACGGATCCTCTGTACCAGCTGAATTTGATACTGGAGCTGACTGGGGAATAATGTCAGCAGCCAAAGGTGCATTATCATGTATGGTAACATCCCCGGTTGCTTGAGAAGCAGCCGAGCAAGTCAGTTTAGATTTCCATGCTTTACTTGGAATAACTAAATGACAGATGATTGAAAACAATAATCAATAAAAAAGGAATTGATATTACAGATGGCAGCATAAATATGGAAATGGTTAATTAAAAACAGTGCAGCATTTACAGCAGTAGTTTTCAGACTCAAATAGCAAATGAAAAGTTCACTCATTAAGCAGAAGCACAGATAATACTCCAAACATCAAAACAAATACTTACTACCTTAGTAGTAGCAAGCAAGGTTTAGGAAATAAACACCAACTCTGTTAAGTTGTCACTTAATGCCAGTTTAGACTATCAAAGACTAATTAGGTATAAACTATAGGTTATTTTGAAACATTACTAGTTATTATTAGTAAGCACATGCAGCCCAAACTTGAGTGTATGAGAGCATAACCTGCACCCCCAAAACAAGAGAGAAGATGAGGAGGGGGGCAGGTTTGAAACCAAGCCACATGACTACACCTGCTACAGGCAGGATAGGAAATGCCAATCAAGCATAGTATTATATGCAGAGGAACAAAGGGACATTTCAACATGTACTACAGAGAGATAACATTGTCCTATAAGGTAGGGTGCATGGTAAAGACCTCTTTGGGATTGTTGTGAACGACTGTTGTAGCTGGAAGATGGTCTACTAGCAGAGGATCGTCCAAATGAAGATGGCACAGATTGTTCAGAGGAGCCTAATAACAGTGCGTAAGGGGGAAAAAGTTTGTAACAAATATCAAGTTCACTTAAACTACAGTGAAATGACCCAGGTGAATTCTAGCATATACCTTTGTCTGTTGGTACATCACGCCCCACCTTATGTTCTACTGATGCCTTCTTGATTCCAATAGTTTGTCTGGAAGCACCAACATCACCAAGGCTGTGAGAGTCGAGAAAAGACACAACCACAGGATCTGACGGTGGTGCTGGTTTCAAGGGTTGCAGTGAATTTGGACTTATAGTAGTGACTACATCTTCGAACGGAAGACCACCTGTCAGATCAGCCAAGGCTGTTGAACCAGACTTATCACCAACAGCACTAGAACTTGTCACCAGCACAGCAGCAGAATCAACTGGTTGATATGGACCGTTGCGAAGACCACTCAACAAACTGTTAGTGAAATAATGAAGTTTCATAATGTAAGCATAATATGGCAGGTTAGATTGATCTTTGTGTGAAAAAGAGAAAGCACCAAAGCGATATGTAGCATTATGGCATTGCCACACAAAAGTGAATGCTACTGTGTACTAAACAGATCTATTCAGCACAGATCCTGAGACAGGAAAAAAATCGCCTTTCCAGTAAAAAAAAATAAAGCATGAATTGATAGTGATTATTATTCACAGCAATTCCCTCTTTCTGAAACCTAATGTACACAAAGAATAACCAATTTTACTAATCAGTGAACCTTATAAGACAGGAATCCAGAACAACATAACAAGCAGGCATCTTAAAATTAAAGTTTATCGTCTCCTATAGGAATGTTCTTGAACTGTGTATTTCCTATAGGAATGTTAATACAGTCAATTTCAAGAGAACATGCCTCGATCCCCCACCCACATAGCGTCCTGGGTGAGCCATTGGCTTGTTAATTTTTTCTTTATTTATGTATTTATTATCTCTGTTCTCTCTCCCAAACTTTCAGATCTTGTGCCACCAACCCTAGCCCGATCCACATGTTGGCCCTGGAACTCCCTGCACAGGCGAGCAATCAGCTCACCAGCACCTACACACACTTGGCTAGAGGTAGAAGAAGGGATAGAGAGCAGGGCATACGAGCACAGCACTTGCACAAGTCTGAAAACTCTGAATGTGTGGCACCCTGAACTGCTTTTCTCCATTGCCTTTGATTGGTATATATACAAGTCTACTAGAGGTGAGTACACCTACTACAATGTCCACTAGGACATGGCTGAGATCAGCCTTACCAACTACTGTATGGCTGATGTATGCCACTACTACTAGTGGCCTATTGCCACATCTAATTGTACAACTAGTACAAGGAGGTGATGGCCTATTGCCATACCTCAACAGGAGCAAGCAAGAGCTGACCGAAATGATCCAAACTCTGCTGCAGCAAAAGACTGGAGAGGGGGAGCAGCAGATTATCTTACACCGCCGAATCCACAATTGCCTGATGACAATGCGGGAGACATTAGAGGTGAACGAAGTGAATCCCGCCTCCAAGTCTCTCTACAAGCGCCACTGTCTCATCTCTCCAATGTCATCTACCTCCAAGGAATTCATTGCTTTTGCAGTTTTAAAAGCACATCCGGATCCATGTATATATTTGTGTTTTTGTTCACATTCAAAAAATCTCACATTCAGTCCTAGTCATGGTGGAGCAAATGAACTATTCTTTTGCACTATAAAGATTAGCTGTTAATAAGGCAATAACAATTCATTGCTTTTGCAGTTTGAAAAGCACATCCGGATCCATGTGTCTATTTTTGCGTTTTTGTTCACATTCAAAAAATGTCACATTCAGTCCTAATCATGGTGGAGCAACTGAACTATTCTTCTGCACTATAAAGATTAGCTGTTAATAAGGCAACATCCCCAGGTAGAAGGAGAGAGGTCCCAGGTCACTCATCTGAAAGGTGGCCTTCATCTCTTCCTTGAATGCCGCCACCTCCGCATCCTTGGTGCCGGTGATCACCAAGTCGTCGACGTAGACACCCACCAGCAGAGCATTTCCTCCACTGCCCCGTCGGTAGATGGCCGCCTCGTGCGGGCTTTGCTCGAAGCCCATCCCCTTTAGAGTGGAATCCAGCTTGGCATTCCACACCCTCGGTGCCTGCCGCAAGCCATAGAGGGCCTTGCTTGCAGTGAGCACCTGCCCTCCTTGCGGGGATCGCGATCCCCCGGTGGTGCATCGAGACCTCCTCCTTCAAGTCGCCGTTAAGGAACACCGACTTGACGTCCATGTGATGAACACGCCAGCCCTCACGGGCGCCTTAGCGCAAGGAGGAGTCGACGGACTCCATCCGTACACGGAGCAAAGGCGTCGTCGAAGTCGACCCTCCCCGCCGCACGAAGCCTCGTGCCACCAAGCGAGCCTTGTGCTTGACGATGGCACCGGCTTCATCCCTCTTCAGCTTGTACACCCACTTAAGGGTGATCGCACGGTGACCACGAGGAAGGTCAAGAAGCTCCCCAGTGCGGTTCTTCTCAACCGCATCCATCTCCAATCGCATCGCGGCGCGCGCCATGCCGCGTGTCTCTCGACCTCTCGTGAACGACCGAGGTTCGCCGTCGTCACACGCAAGGTGCAATCGCGCCTGTGTCGTGAGGCACCGGTCCCGCAGACCGGCCGGTCGCCGAGAAGGTTCTCAACAGACGGTACCGCATAGAACGGCTCGCCGTGTCGTGGTACGCGTCGACACGCTTCGTCGTGAGAGAGCGAATAGCGAAGCTCAACGGGCCGTGCTCGACACGAAGGTGGTGGTGGGGTAGACATGCCGGAGTGGTGCTGTCGGTCTTTGGAGGCGCGTGGCGTTGTTTACCGTGGTGGAGCGGTGAAGAACTCATCGTACCGAGGTCTTAGCCGGAGAGCGTGGCAGCTTGTCGAGTAGCAGCGCCGGGGTCGGGTGGAGGCTCGGGGGCTGGGTAGACGCGCTTCGCCAAGAAGAGCCGCTTACTACTCCCCAACTCCCTCAAAGTGGACGACTCGACGATTGAAGAAGTCGTCGACGTCCGAGCCGAGCCGCCGCCCACCGCCTTGTCCCACGCCCATCCTCGCTTTTTCGTCGAACACACGCGTCGCTGCGCGCGCACACGCCGCAGGTCTTTGGTCGAGGATGCGGTAGGCCTTCGAGCCCCCGCGTAGCCGATGAACACTCCCCGAGTGCTCCGTCGCCGAGCTTCTTTGATGTGGCCAAGCTCCTTGGCTAACGCGAGGTACCAAGACCCGTAAGTGGGAGACCGCCGGCTTGCGCCCATGCCAAGCCTCGACGGCCCCGCTGCCGAGCGCTTTGGTAGGCGAGCGGTTGAGGATGTAGACGGCCGTCACCACCGCTTCTCCCGAAGAAGACGGCCGGCATCCCCTCGCTGAGGAGGGCCCGAGCCATCCCCACAACCATCCGGGTTGCGCCGCTCGACGACGCCGCTCTCGCTGCGGGTCAGACGGCGCGGAGTAGTGGCGTGAATGCCCTCGCCAACGCGAAGACGACGCGAACCACCGCCGTGAATTCGCCATCGTTGTTGCGGCGCAAAGACGCGCAGCGGCTGCGGCCACACTCGCCTCCGCAGTTGACTGCTGGCGGTTCGATGGCGTCCCGCAGCCTCTCCCTTGCCGCCGAGGACCATCACCCACATGTAGCGGGAGAGGTCGCCGACGAGCAAAGCAGGAAGTAAAGCGTCGTCCTCCCGGTGTGTGGCCGGTGTCACAGGCCACACAAGTCCCCATGCACAAGCTCGAGCCTCTCCTTGGCTCGGAAAGCTCGCCCACCGGGGAAAGGGGAGTCGCCCGCTTCGCCATTAACACGCAGACGTCGCAGAGCTGCTCCACATGGTCGAGGCACGGCAAACCTCGCACCATCTCCGTGGCACCGAGCCGCTTCAGGGCCTCGAAATGAAGGTGCCCGAAACGCTCGTGCCACTGCCACACCTCGTCATCCCGACGAAAGCGCCGAGACAGTAGGGTTGTGCCACCACGCGTTGAGGACGTAGAGTCGATTTGCACTTCTGGTTACCTTGGCAAGAAGGTGACGCCGGCGATCCCAAATCCTCATGACTCCATCCTCAACCACCACACGCGAACCGTTCTCATCTAGTTGTCCCAAGCTGATGATAGAGTTCCTCAACGCGGGGATGCAGGAGACTCCGGTGAGCAACCTGTGCTCTCGCCGACCACAGCGATGAAGATGACGGAGCCGACGCCCTTGATCTCCACGCCGGAGGCATCCCCAAACTTGACGGAGCCTCGGACGCTAGAGTCAAGCTCGGTGAAGAACTCCCGTCGACCGGTCATGTGATGGGTGGCGCTGGTGTCGAGGCACCACCCGTCAGTCTTGTCGTTGCCGGAGCTGTCGCCGAGGAGGGTGTGTGCTTTTGGCTCGTCAAGGTGGAGGAGAGCCACGCGCGGCGGCGGTGCCGCCGGAGGTAGCTTCGATGCTTGCATGTGCCATGTAAACAGAGCCGGCTCCTCGCTTTCAGGCGACGTGGGCTCTGGCCGCGTCGTGGTGTCGGCATCCTTGGCCCAATGGTTGCCGCAGCGCGCAGCTGGCGCAGCATCGTCTCGTGTCAGCTTGTGCCTGCCGACGGCGCCGCCCTAGGCGCCTCCGCGGGCATCACCCTCGGCACGTCCTCGCGCCCCGGCCTGGGCGTCTTTGCGTGCCTTGCGTGCGTGGCTTGCCACGCCAGCAACCCTTTGTCGCGGAAGAAGGCTCCCCCTTCTTCCGGTCACCTTGGCTGGCAAGCCACTGCTCCCGAGTGAGAAGGAGCTTCCCGCTAGTGGTGATGGGCCCCGAGAGAGACTGTGGCTCATCGCTGTCGACGACCTTGAGGCGACCTATCGCCTCCTCGATCGACACCGTGGAGAGATCCAGCAGGGACTCGATCGAGCAAGCCATCTGCTTGTACTTCTCGGGGACCCAGCGAAAGAGCTTTTCGACAGCTCTCTCCTCGCCGTAGGTGTCATCACCGAACTGCACCATCTTCTACAACAGTGTTGAGACGGAGAGCAAAGTCATCAACATCCTCACGGCTTGAAGGCGTGTTCTCCCACTCCTTGCGAAGTGCTGCGGTGTGGACTTGGCGGGCGCGGTGCCGCCCGCGCGCGCGTCTTGCAGCCGATGGCGTCCCAAGCCTCCTTGGCGATCCGATTGTTGGTAAGCGAGAAGCGCATCTCTCGGGCGGGGCTGCAGCTGATGAGGGCATCCGACGCCTGATTGATCTAGGTCGTAGTCGACGTCGCCGTCTCGGACCGCCTCCCACATGTGCCGCACTGGAGCTTTACTCTCATCACCGCATGACCCACTCGACGAAGTTGGTCTTGGTGAGGGTAGGCCACCCACTTTGGGACCGACGTCCCCGACAACGACTGGAGCCGGTGGTAACCACGGTACCGATCCGGGGAAAGCCACGTTGCTCGTGAAGGTCGCGCTCTCCATAGACCCGTCGCCACCGTTGTTGCGCGCGCGCCTCCTCCAGAGCGCCCGCCGGGCGCACGATCCCGCCTTTCTGCAGGCTACCGCGCCGCCGCGGGCGGCGCGGCGCTGCCCTAGGAGCGCCACCGCCATGCGCGCGCCTCCTCCAGAGCGCCGCCAGCGCGCGTCCGCGCTCAGGGTGCGCCGCCACGCTGTGGCGCGCGCGGCGCCGCCATCGCGCCGCCGCCGGCGCTGCCGCGCCTCCCTCTCTAGCGGCTCGAGGTCGCGTCGGCGGTGTCGCGATGGAAATGGAGCTGCCTGAAATCCGCTGCATGACCTCGACCTCGACCCACATCGCCGCCAGACGCGCAGCCGCATTCGCGCCGCATTGCGCCGCCTCCGCCCGCTGGTTGGCAGCTCACGCCATTACCGACCTCGACACCTTGTTGCCGCCGCAGCGGTTGTCTCGCCACCGCTGCGCTCGTTTCGCGTTCCTGCTGGCGGCAAGTTCGGCCTCCTCGACGCCGCGTGCTCGAGGCGATCGAAAGACCGAGAGCGCCTGCGGACATGACGCGCCACTGGGGAAATTGCTGCGTGGGGAGAGGGTCGCCTGCATAAGTGTGTCAGAGGAGAGGAGAGTGAGCAGGGGCGGCGGAGGCTTGCCACGCCAACAAAAGTGGGTGTGTGTGGGGGGGGGGGGAGATGGAGCAGGAGATGCTCGGACTCTGAGGATAGTACTGGCTCGATACTGGGTTGTTAGTCGTTGAACTCTCACTCTCGGTAGTAGCAGAATTCGAGAGGATGACACTAGGAGTTGAGGCAATTTTCTGGTTTATTTCTCACACAAACTCACACAAATACCATGCCAACCTGAGGGGTTGGGGATACATATTTATAGGCTGCTAGCCAGCCAAGCATATGCCTAGATGCTATCCTAGATGCTGTCCTACATGCTAGTCCTAGATGCTAAGATGCCAGTCAAGGATGCTGCTGCTGCTGTCCTCTGTCCCAGTCAAGGATGCTGTCCTTGATGGCAGCAAAAACCCCACAAAGACTACTGCAGCCCCACAAAGACCACATAGACTTATCCATCAGAATTGGTGATGTTTTTATTGCACATGTGATTAGGTCAACCCTCAGATTTACTTTTAAGCCATCACGTTGCATGCACTTTCTGAGTCATGACCAACAAAACCAACATTTGTCTGTCACTGACCCCTAGAAAATGTATCAATGGAAATAAATAATATTTTTTCTGATTCCAGTTTCATATAAAAAAATGTGATATTGTGTGTTTGTTGTATCTGTTGTTGCCTAGACTGGTGATTAATGCTTATCCTGATTTTAATTCTCGGTGCACAATAACGGATATCTATGATTCATCTTTTGTTAACGAATTGCTGATATAATCATACAGAAGAAATATCTTTTGAAATATCTTTTTCTTTTTACAAAATACTAAACAGTCATGCCGGTAGTGCGCGCAAGGCGCACAAAATTTTCTAGTTAAATTAGTGACAAAAGGCATCTATTTAGACCAGAGCCATTGCCTGCCTACGACCCATCTAAGTAGCACATGCACCTTACATCAAAAGTTAAGGCGCATTAAATCAAAAGTCAAGACACATTCCTTGAGAAAAATCATTCCAATCTGTTTGAGATCATTAGATAGCATTGCCTAAAAAGCTCACATTTGAAAATGAATAAGAAACCTTTTTTGGGAACACTTGATGGCCATAAGAGCTGCCTAACATCAAACTTTAAATAAATCTATTTAACTTAAACTAGCTCTCTGAGACTAGTCGTATGTTACTGTCGTTGTGGGCACTAGTAAACACCTTATACTTTCATTCGTCAAAAAAGGAAATGCATGAGCAGAGGTATGCATCTTTTTGCTACAAAATACTGACAACAAATATAAAGATCACACCTCAAGAACAAATAAACTCAGTAACATTTAGCGATAGTTTTCAAGGGCAAAAGAACTGAATATGAATTTTATAAAGACTGTGGATACCTTGGCATGAAAGTGGAAGCTTTGACATCCATATTCACATTGATTATCGGAGTAGAACCACTACCTTTTCCCGTGATCAGACTTATTCCATTCTCCTTTCCAGAAATAGCACTTCGTCCAGCAGAATCTTCAATGAGATAAAAAGTAATGCATTGGTTTTGTGTAACCATTTAAGAGGATTAAATTGTGTCTTGAGCTTACTTTATGTTAAAAATTAACATGGATGGTCAGGTAATAACCTTTTGGAAGGTTGTTTTCTCAAAAAGTTTGTGCAGAAGCAGCTCTAACTTGTGATCAGGATTTTCAACATCAAAATATGTATGTATGAACACTTGCTGATAATCTTCATAGTGTATCAAAGTAGCATGTAGTCTATGCAAATGCAAAACTCCAACTGTCTTTTAAATAGCATCCAGCAAAATCTTAAGTTGACAAAATGCTGTAAAAAAATACCATTAGAGCTGGACAAACTACGTGAAGAATAGTTCCCTCGACCACTCTTTCCACCTCGCCCCTGCACGGCAGGTCTCCACCGAGAATCCAATGGCTCTTTACTACCCTGTGGATAAAGGTAAATTGAGTTGCAATCAATTTAAGAAATAAAAGTACCTTTCAACCACAATATAGCCAATGTTTTCGCTGAAAGTTTCGTAATACCGAACCGAAACATTACTGAGCCAAAGAAGACTACATCATCCATGTTTATGTGTTACTTGATGCAAATAGCAGTAAGCTAATATGCACCTTGATGATTGTTTAGAAGGGAATTGCTGTGAAATTCATGCTGAAGCCTACTCTAAATCGGTACTGCCCAGGGCCTCCATTCACATGTTCTCAATATTATCTAACTTATTGTTTCAGATTGTCTACCAATTTTTCAAATAAGTAATCAGAATAACTACAGTCACAGTGTTGTAAAAGTAAAATCTGAGAAAATTAGTGCAATGTGCTGATGTGCATGATTTAGATGCTTCAGAATATATTTTCTACTGAAAAAATTGAAACATAAGGTCAGACATTAACAATTATGTAATATGTAATACTATTTAAGCCTGAGTGTTGTTTTCAGTAATACTTTAGCGATTCACCCTTCAAACGCATATACTTTGAATACAGCACCCGCTTTTCAAACAGGTACATTTGAGGTTGATGTGTTCTGCTTATTTCTCAAACTGTTGGGCAAAAGCAGTTGCCAGAAGTATAGCAACATGTTCCAAATCAGGCCAGCAATATTCCGTTCTCCATTATAGATCAGGAAAGAAAAAGGCCTATACCAAATTATCTGAATGTGGCCCAACCAAATAATGAAAAATCATAATACATATGCAATACCAAAGAAAGCCCATGTGAGTATGTGACCTCAAAATAACTTGATGCAATCACAAAAACAAAATGACACGGATTTTTGGAGATTATAAGAATAATACATATGCAGTACCAAAGAATGATAGACCAATTGTCATTATTAAACCTAGCCTCAAGCAATAAAGTAATTTATTCTGAATAACATTATTAGCTCCAATTACTTGCCCATAAATCGTGACTAGTGATGAATATACTTTGAAAGAGATAAGAACAGGGATAGGTGGAAAGATCACCCTACCTCCTTTTTCTTGTCACGCTTCCTTTTCACCTCATGAAAGGTATCTGAAATTTAAAATAGAAAAAGCAATTCTAAGTTGAGTCACAGAGGTTACAATACTTGAATAATCACATAAACACATGCAGAGACAAAACGAAGCATAAAACAAAGTACAAGGATACTAACGTGGGTGTAGACCAGTATTGTCTCTCATAGCAACTATTTCCACTTGCATTAATATACTAGTGAAAACATATAGCAATTGTAAACCAAGCATATGTTCAAATGTCTACCGGAACCATTTGTAGACTACTTGATAAAAACATCTGGACTCAAGTACTTCGCGTGTGCATTATGCATCGATGATGCAAGGGAACAAAAAAGTGATATCAACAAAGTAAATGTTAATTTTTTGGGTAGACTAAGGAGCCTACCAATTTTAATACCATACTACAAGTATAATTATCGTAAGAGTTTATTTCTTGTTTGCGTATCCAAAAGGCAGCAGACAAGAAGTGATTTATAAGAAATTAAGGCAAACAAAGCCTTAAACATCTCTTAGGAACTGCATGGTACAAGGCCATACAAGGGAAACAAAACCTTATTTTTTTTCTCAATTCCCCCCACTTTTAGGGGTATTTGTTTGAGGAACCATCCCACCCTAGATCAAATGGTGCACCATGTGTCAATCCATGAGATTTGGTTGATGTTTCATGCTTATACTAAGTGTTTTCTTCTGAGGAATGTGGTGATGATGCATTAACCAATTCCATTGCACAAACCATGCTAAAAAATAAGGAGTAAGAAGATGATGGACTATCCCATCTCTTAAACTAAAGACCCCTTTAGTTTATCAGATCATTAGAGGTAAAGAAGGGTAAGAAAATACAAACTTCAAGTTTCATAATAGTAATAGATGAAAATTGGCAACAGGCATAGACAGATTGTCTATCCTCAAACAAAAAAATTGGATTCGACTCCTTACTTGTACCACTGAATGGCGCCATTCAGGCAGACAGTGAGAGAATATTATCATCGTTAGACATATCGAAACACCAAGCTAAACCATAAGAAAAAGCAACAAATAGCATGAATTTCCACAAGAATTTAAATATCAGATTACTGATTGCTTCGCTAGAAATAGTAGCATTGACCTTGATAATTTTAAACCTTTATTAAATATATATCAGAAGCTAAAGTGCTAGTAAAGGCAGCGCAAAAAAGGGAGATTGTATTAGATAAATGACACTGTTAAATTCCGACTTAACTATGCAATGTTTCTTCAAGGAGAAATGCCGCTGTAAAGTTTCATCATGAAAAAATGCTACTTGATTGGCATTTTCCATTTTCCATCATGAATACAGAACAGCACGCGTAAAATGGTGCACAGATGCTTCCCTCAAGCAGCCAGCTGAATTTCCAAAAACCCTAAAATGCCAAACCATACAGTGACGCAACCCTCTCCGTACCCTCCCACGAACTGAATCAAGGAAAGCCTAGAGCGAATCGAAAAGCACCCGCGGACTCAACCTTGCACGCCCCACGCCCATCTCGCGCCAGCCGCATGGACCAGGAAATTGGATCAAACGACGAAATCTAGACGGGCGGAGCAAGGGATGGGCAGGGGAGAGAGCGGACCTTCGAGGAGGAGCCTTTGAGCGGTCTCGTTGGGATCCATGTTGCACTCGCGGAGCATGGCGTAGATCTCCTCGTCGGTGTGGCCGCCGGCGATCTCCATGATGTCCGCGACCGTGCGCCGCGCCCCTGCCGGGATTGAAACCCTACCGCCCGCCGCCATCTCCCTCAACGTCGCTGCCGCCAACTCGCCCGCCGCTTCGGAGAATCCTCTCGCTTGCTTCGCGTACCTTCACGCGCGCGGGCGTGCGAGAGCAAGGGGATTCGCGAGGAAACGGGCGAGGTTAAGGGAACGAGAGGGGTGGCTGGGTGGGACTGGGGAGGAGGAGAGAGAAGAGCAGTGTCAGAGATTTGGGTGGGGCTGGGGTTTGAGTAGCGTCTTTTTCTTCAGCTTACTTTTCCGGTCAACGAGCAGTATTTTTTCCGTATAAAAAATCAACCAACAGTGTTTTTAGTCATAGTTTATCAGCTAAGCGAATAGAGCAAGAGCGACGGAAGCGCTTCCGCATGCTAAATTTAGTTCGATTTACTAGCTTCAACTGTTTTAATCATTTGAATTTACCTCTTAACAAGATTTATTTTTTCTATTTCTTTATGTACAAGCTAAATTTTACTTTCAAAATTTGTGTGACGACAGTGGACAATATATAAACTACTCAATCCATCTCAAATTATAAGATGTTTTAATCATTTGTGTGACTTTTATTAATAAATCAAGTTTGATCACTCGTCTTATTCAAAAAATTATACTAAATATCACTTCTTTTGTCGTGTCATGGTTTATTAATAAAAGTTCTTCAAGAATGACTTAAATTTGACTATGCATAAATTTTTTTGAGTAAGACGAGTAGTCAAACTTAAAGTCAAAAAGGTCAAACATCTTATAATTTAGGACGGAGGGAGTACTAGTTAATACCTCGCACGTTGCCGTGGGAGTTATTAGATATAGGATTAGATATATGAATCATTATAGGAAGATAAACTCAAATGTGTTCATGTGGATGTTCATCATGACAGCTTCAGAGAGTAGCCAATGAAATTAGACAACAAGGTATTAAATACATATTGCTTGCATATAGGTAGTTAGAGATGTGAAGGGTTGAGTTTAATAGGCTGTTGATAGGTTTTAGGCTAAGTGGACAACGTCAGGTCATCAGCTATGAAAGCACCATTGCACATCATATATAATAAGAATAACTAAAAAAAGGTAACAATCATAATATGTGTGCGCCTTGATAATAACAATCTAATAAAGGGTATTAAAACGAATGTGTCGATGTCATTCCCCCGGGTATCCCGACTTCATGATTGCCGACTACCGACTCCGGATCAGAGAAGACGCGAAGGCCTACGACTACCCTATTCGAGGAAGGATATCTCCGGATTGCGCCAAGACTCCGACTAGGGCATGGCTCCTTAGCTTGTAGGGCAAGTTGATTCCGGATATAAATAGCTAGCAATACTCCATGATGTAATCATCGACTATTTCATAGGCATAGCTACATTGTAATCGTAATCTCGCCGAATACAAGCAATACAAGAGTAGCAACTGTACGTATGGCTTTTACTCGCTTCTTAGGGGCCTGAACCAATATAAATCTCGTGTTCCAACTGTGATTGTTGTTCGCGCCCAGCAGGGTTCCCCAAGAACCAAATATCTGCCGGTAAAAACCACCGACAGAGGTGCGCCAGGTAGGGGGATAGTGTGTGAAGACTGATCATGACGATTATCAACAACGTCTGGTACGCAAAACCGATGCGTTCCGACATCGATGTGACACCACTCGTTATCATAGGGGATCTTAATTCAGATTCCCAGATCAAAGCTTTTCTCCGCGATGTACCGCCAGCCATCTGCTTTGGTAGATTGGTTTTCAAGCACACCGGAGATCTCAACTTCAAGTTAATCGGGATCAAGAATCCCGAACCACTAAAGACCGTCAAGGAGGTCACAACCCCATCTGGGCACTCATTACAGATCGATCTTGTCGTTCGCATTACAGCTCCTGACTCTGGTAATGGGGGACCAGGCGATGAAATTATCATTGAAGATCATCCAGTTTGCTCAACGATATTCCAGAAGCTATCCCAACCAGCAACATGGAAAATGAAATCGAACTTGGCGTCCATACCTATGCAGTAGGAGAGGATCATACACAGTTATGTGTATAAACCTTCGAGATTTCAGCTTCTTAAAAGCATCCTTCTCCACCTTGGTTTGCCAGCGGATATGTGATTCCTCCAGCAGGGCGTTGTTCATAGATGATGATGACTGTCGATGAAATACGTTCGGCAGTCTACCGAGGGGTATGCCCATGGTAATAGATGAATCGGTGGAGATGCACGTGAGGGAATCGGATGGTGACACAGAATGCAAGAGACAGCGATTAGGCAGGTTCAGGCCGTCAGCTTGACGTAATACCCTACGTCCTGTGTCTTTGTGGATTGTATTACGAGAGATAAGATCTAAAAATGAGGGGGTCCCTACCCACCTTATATAGCACAGGGGGTAGAGTTGTAGGTCGGTTGTTTCTATCCTGATCGGTTTACAAGATAGGAATTACAGAGATTGCGGAAACTAGCATATCCGAACAGATTATCCTTGATCGATAAGGATCTTCACGTAGCCTTGCGAGGCACGCCGACCTGCATTGTGCTCCACGTGGCGTAGTCTTGTGGGCTAGGCCTCCCCTAGTGGCTCGGCCCATATACATCCCTATGGGTATCGGGGCTCATACCCCCACAACTAGTCTCCGAGCGCCTTGTATTCGCTAAGCAACACCGTGTCGAGCTTGTCCGAGCTGTTCAAATTGTTGCTGATCACTAGGAGCAAGCTTCCGACCAGTTTGACCTAGAACCGAGCTGTTGAAGTGAGCGTCCGAGCGGTTGAACGAGCGTTCGAGCTGTTGAACACGTCGTTCGAGCAGTTCAACTGGTTGCTGAACCCGAACTCACTCGGAGTTGTCAGAAGGATATAAGGAGCTTAAGTAAAAAAATTGAAGTCTCCACCTTAGGTAAAGTGTGCCCACTTAGCTTTCGGGCAGCAAAGTTGGACGCTTAGCGTCCCTAACTTAGTCAACGCAGAGGAACTTAGTCCCTCGGGGGCGAAGAGAGATGCTTAGCATCAATGCCTTAGGCAAAATTGACTCTTAGAGCCAAAACAAAGAGCTTGGACGATTACAGTCTACGACGTAGTCGCTTTGTAGAAGACCAAGTCCAGGAATAAGCACATTCACCGCTAGATGAAGTGTGCCCACTTAGTCCTCGAGCCTGGCAGTAGGTGAAGTGTTCACATGGTGCTAGGGTCTAAAGTAGCAGTCTTCAGGTGCGAACCCAGTCCCCAGCTTTGCTAGACACAAGTCCTCAGCTTAGCTGAGATAAAGCAATGTAGAAAATAGTACAGTCATCACAAGATGACGTGTATACATGTAGTGCCCAAGCCTAATGGAAGATTGTGAAGATATCTTGTAGCAGGATCAGAGAAAAAAATATCTTGTCATAAATGTCTAAAAAACTCTGTCGAAGCAACGCGTGGCGTTGAATTATGTTTCACCGGCCCGTGTTTGACGTGGTTTGACGCGGCAGCCCACCAGGCCCATTCGGCGGCCTAGCGGCGCATGGAGATTTCGGGGGAGAATGTGGTGGGGCCGGCGCGGTTTCCCAAAAACCCTTAAAGGCGAAAGGTCAGGGGTCAAACCGTTATAAGAGCGCTGCGACTCCGACGCACATTCCCCACTACTTCTCCGACACTTCATCTTCTTCCTCACACCCACACCGCTGCACCAAGCAACTACTCCGCCATTAGAGCAACCGTAAGCGCGTAGTCTCCTCCAGGCCACAGATCTGTTAGATGGCGTCCAAAAGGAACTACGGCGGCGCTCAATCAGTTGGTGGTGCACAGCGTGCTGCCCGATAGGTGCTGGCGGTCCTTAACTCACATTTTTAACCGCCAAGATTCATATAAAATTCACTCAAATGAAAACCAAATCTAGTAATAGGGCCTTAAACTAATGATTTCCATAAGTTTTGGTAAGTTGTGCATTTGTAGGACACATACACAGAATACATATGGAAAACACTCAAAATATGCAAACAGAGAAAGCATAAAGCGTATCCAGGCCAAAGAATCACCAAGAAGCCCATCCAAACTCCAAGTCTGAGCCAAGCCCTGATGTGGATGTGACCCAAGCTCACTCAGGAACCGACCACGCGAAGGAGGTGGCGAGACGGGCCAGGCCTGGCGTAGCTGCACCCTAGGTGCGGCCGCACCGCCCCCAGCTCCGCTCGGCCCCACCTTGCATAGGTAGTGCATTCAATGCCCTAGGAGGTCATCTGCATGGGTGTTTCCTAAAATACAAGAGCAAACTGACCTCCTCAAAGCTATATAAAGACCCCCTCCTCACATTCATTCATCATTCATCATACACAAGATACACATTGTGACAAGAAGAGAAGGAGCTCCACTTTCATATCTTAGCTCTTTGGCTTAGTTTAGGGAGTGAGTGAGGGAGAGAAAGAGACGGAGAAGTATCGAAATTGTCGTCTACCTCCATTTGTAGTGGAAGGAATGCCGAGAATGTCGGCTCCCTCTTCACTTATACCTCGATGGACCTAGTACTACTTGGAGTGCAAAGGTTCGTGTTTATCTTCGGTGGTGAGTCTTACTTTAAGTTAGTCTTGTTTACTATTTACTTGTGGGTTCGTCGTTCATCCCCGTGGCGGATACTCTAGTATAGGGCTCCTGATAAAGACGGATAATCCTGTACGGCGCTAGAGTAGTAGTCGATAGCATAGACGTGGTGTCTAGGCTAGAGGCTAATTTCATTTGCCTCGTTCTCCACGGTTGAGGGGTAGGCGGCAGGTGGTGATAGACCTATCCGTCCCTTGTAATCCCCCACGTTCGGGTTCGGCGTAGAGCTATAGGCCAGGATCGCCTGGCAAACTAGGTGTGCTTCGGTGCCCGAAGCGAGTATATAGTGACAAAGCTATCTTAGCTTAGGATCTCTATCCCTAGAAAACCTCGCTACCCGAGCTAACCTCGCTACCCAAGCTATCTTTCTTCTTGTTACCATAGGTGAACTAGCTAAGAGACTTTTACATATCTATTCCTCGTGGAAATACGATATCCTGAATACTTCCGGGTGAAATGCTACAACGGTAATT